AGGAAACCCTTCGTCTGAGTGCCCAGCTCCAGAGGTTCTGCAGTGGAACAGAGGGAATGCAGCAGGTGAGGACCATCACCTGAGTGCACATCCATGCTCAGGACTTAGTCCCATGATCCTAGTTCTGTGTAGACTGCAGAGAAGGATGCAGCTTTTAACAGACCCGTCCATATGAGTAGAAGTGTGTTGCCTGATTCTTGGTTGAGCTGCTGATTCAGGCTTTGTTAGTAACAATGAGACTGAAGCCAAGAAGCCAGTTTCCATTGGGGACAACCCAGTTCTTGAGGGACCTGGGATTCCCCTTTACTTCTCTTGGTTAGAAGAAATCAGCAGTCAGATATTGTGGAGAGTCCCAACTGGATGTGGAGAATAGGAATCATGCCTTGTGCAGCTCCTAGCTTCTTTGCAGCTAGTCCCAGAGCTGTTAAGAGGGTTGCTGTGTGTTTTGGCAGGTGGAGGTTCATTCCAAAGGAACCCAGACAGCCAAAGAGGAGATGGAAGTGGATCCAAAACCTGACTTGGATTCAGATTCTTGGTGTCTCCTGGGAACGGACTCGTGCCGCTCCAGCCTCTAGTCTCCTGAGCCCACTGGGATCCATCTAACTTCACAGCACACTAACTGAATGCAGAGAGCGGCTTTCCTGGCTTCAGGTCACTCAGACAAGGAGCGAGGCCGGAGGCTCCAGAGCAGCATCCATGTACGTTTGATATGAACCAGGAGTGATTCTGAGAGGGGAAGGGCCTCTGAGCTCTAAGCCAGCTCAGTGATTGAAGCAGCAGCAGCTCCTTTTTGTACCTTATCTGTCAGTTCTGCACATGAAGCAGTATGGCCCCGTTACGGTGACAGCTCCGGCAGCAGGCCCTTTCATTGTTCCACTGCTTCCTGGGAGCTGCCTTTGGGACCCCAGTATTCATCGCTGCATCTCTGAGAGAAAGAGACGTGTTTTGTACTGAAGCTGGCTGAACCCTAACACTCACCACCTTCACTTTAGAGGGGTGAAGGGCTAGGATCCTGTCCCTGCCACACAATAAGGCCCAGCCAGTGAGGCTTCTCTCTGCTCGGGGGCTGAGGGAGCAGAGAACATCTCATTCTGGAGGCAGTGGAGATTTTCCTGTAAGGGAGATAATGGCAGACAGCATGTCCCTGGCCCCAAGGTGCAGCTTCTGGCCATATGACTGTGTCCAGTGGCCTGTACAGAGAGTTTAAAGGCCTTATTCTGGGTGCCTAGAGCTCTTCAACTTCCAGGCAATGCACAGAGATAAGTGAATCGGGTGCAGTTTCTGACAGCTGTAGCAGGGACTGATTGAGATGGGATCTCTGGTACATGGTTTCAGACCACCTGCTTCCCAACCAGATGCTGAGCGTCTGGTCCTCAGACTAAGTCATGCATTTCTTGCTCCAGCTGTCAATTTGGTTTGGGTACCAGAGCTTCTGGTTTCTTGGCATAAGCCTGTAGCTGCTCCTTGCTTGGCTTCTGTTCTGCTTAGCCCCTGGTGTGGGTGTGGGAAGAATCGGTATTTTTCCACTCAATGTTGTGATGAATCTGGAATGCGTTTTCCTACCCAGAATAGGTCATTAATGCTGTGGTCACAGGATGCAGCCTTCCCCTATGACCACGAACGATCAAGACTCTGTCTGGAATTCACCTTCTTTCTAGAAGCAAGAGGTTTTCCCAAAGAAAATTGGAGATGGGAAGAGGCATGGTCTGCTCAGGGTTTCCTCATTTCCCATTAAAGAATGAAGTAAATTTTATTTCCCACAAATTTTTTAGCAAACTGATTCTGAACTAAGCTTTTGGGAGTGGTAGGATGACTGGGAGAAGCTAGCCTCCCTTCACTTTATGTGAAGCCTCCAAGGAATCCTGAGTCCCTCTCACCTTTGCTGTGAGAGTGGAGTTATGATTTCATTAAACAGTCCCCATCAAAGACACGTCACTAGAATTGTCTTAGGTCAAATGGAGCTGGTTATCCTATCACCTCTTCTGGATGTCTTTCTTTGAGAGACTGTCCCTTGGGAGCCAGCATATTCCCCCTTTGGGTCTAGAGGTGGATGCCAAACCGTTCTCCTTGTAATTTATGCTTCTTAAATACTTATTGGTGCCCCTTGCTTGTATCAAGTGCAGTGTCTACAGTGCAGAGTCCGGGGCAAGGATAGTACCCACGTGCCTGTCTACCCCTAATGAAAAAGGGCAGGAGGACAGCCCTCCTGGGAGATGGCATCAGGTGCTCTGTGTGGCCACATTGCTTGGTTGCCCTGGTGACTCTGCCCTCCTTTCCCCTCGTGTGTTGGAGCCAGTTCTCAGGTTAGGGGCCCGGCTTGAGGGTTGTTGCTGCATTTGGAAATGATCAAGTTGGTCATGTTGCAGCAGTGCCTTTGAGGAGCAAAGAGTTGAGCCTGAGCCATGTCCAACAAGCAAGCACCAAGCTGATGGGAGTCGCTCTCCTGCAGTGCACTGCTATCCTCATTTCTCAATGCTCTGCAGTTGGGAAGCTGGGTGCACAGACTGGATTCCCCTTGGATCTAGTGGAGAATTAGGGTCCTGACATAGGGTGCCCTGTGCTCCACAATCTCAAATGTGCCTTAGAGGATTCACGCTATCCAGGTTGTGCCTGTTGCAGACCACAGATTTCACACCAGCCAGCTATGCAACCAAAAAAGCAGTTTAAAGCCAGCACCTTAGTCATGGGCTGAAATTGGAAGGACAAGTGGGCAGAAGTGCCTCTGAGCAGTTTCAAATCCTTTTGACTTCTCCCCTTCTTGCAGTGCTAGCTCCATACGTGTCAGTCTCCTGCTAGTATTGCTACTGAGTTGTTATAGTGGAACACAACTTTTGCCTGCTCTGACACTCTGGCTGAAAACTAGTTTGTCGTCTTTTTTTGAAAGGTTAAAGGGTGGAGTGGTTTGGAGTTTCTGTTTAAATAAATGTTTAAACTCATTTGCTTGTGTTCAGATTTCTTTTTGCAGAAGAGTAAGGGGAAACATGCATATATTATCAGAGGCATTCTGTTGTTTGATGTGTTTTTTTTCTTATATGTTCTGGAAAGATGACCAGAGGACTTACAGGTTCCTTTGCTATGGGAAAAAATGTCACATTCTCTGATTCTTAGGAAAAAAGAAAAGAAAAAGGCCCTTTTATTGCTGTATCTCTTAGTGACGTCAGGGGCCCTTTGTGTGTGAGGTTTTTCAACAGTTTTAATGCCAAGTGGGAAATGAGTAACAGGAAGAGAAAGGTTCACAGGGAAGAAGCACCTGTTTCTCTTGAACAGCTCTTACTGAGCATTGAGGTCTATGGAGGTGAAAACCTGACCAATACCAGCTCAGCACACTGCACAATGCCTGTCACCTTTAAGCTTTTATTGGGGATTTTTGTAAATTGTGAAATGCCTGGAGAGGCAGACAGGGTCAGAAACTTAACGTTCAGTGGAGAATCAGAAAGTGAAAATGCAGGACGTCTCTGAGAATGGGACTGTACCACAGTAGAGGAAGCTGAGCCACATGGAGTGACATAGCTGGGGTAACCTTAACTGTGACAGCAAAAAGGTAGGGTAAAACTCTGCTGTCTTACTTTACCTGAAAAATTACCTCAGCAAAACAGGGTGAAGAGCTCAAGGCTAGCTCTGAAACAAACACAATGATGAAGTCTGGTGATTTAATTTCAATAACTACTTTTGCTTAATCTACAGTTTCAGTCCCAGCATTAGCTCCTTGCCTGTTACTTAAGGAAAGTCCCCAACTGATGGATTTATTTTACAGTATCACAAGCCTTTCTATGTGTATTCTATCCCAGTGACTGTCTGTTGACTTTTAGGACCCACTAAACACAATTAAAAAAAAACAAAGTGCAAGGAAAATTGAATCAATACTGCAAGACAGGAAGTGGTACTGAATTTCTTAACTACTCTTTAATTCAGTAACATCTTTCATTAATTCAAGACTGTGGGAATACAGCTTTCAGTTTATTCCTTTCCTACCCCTTTTCTTGTCGCCCCTTGCTATCCTCTAATACCCTATGTTAATAAGTTCTGAAGTTAAAGCGTTGATCTTATTTTCCAGTCAGTTTGCATACAGTGAAGTCTTTTCCCTTGTTTTGAGTCTCTTTTTCTCTCTTCTCTGGGTTTGCACGTTCTTATACATACCTGGCTGACAGAGCAGTACTGACCCTTTCTGGGACCTTCATGTTTTTCTAGGGTGTGCCACAGGATTGGGATCTCTGCCCACATGTCTATAGGTCAGAAGCACTCCCAACTTCTTTCAGGAATCTGGTCCACCCATTGCAGGCTGAAGTGTTTCTCCAGATTCAGGTTTTTACTAATCCAGTTCAATCTGGCTGCTTTTTATCTGTTGGTTTTGGGGTTTTTTTTGGTCTTCTTTTTTCTTCAGGCTCCTGTGAGGAGCTGGCGCTGCATTGCTGAAGGATTTGCAAAAGGAGCTGCTGGAACTTTTTTTGTTCCTTGTTTGCTTCCTGTTGCAACTTTCTCATACAAAGTAGTCGTTCTTACTTTGAGAACAAAAAACACTCTGTGACCATTTAAAACAACTTTTTACAAAACAGAAATAGTCTAATATTAGACTAGTCAGAAAATCAGAATCTGAAAAAATAGACAACTATGCAGCAACTGTTACCAGCTTGGAGCAGATGCCTTTTTGTAAGTCTGTAGGACATCTATTCCCCCTAAAGACCCTTTAATCGTGTGTGACAAACTAAGCCCTCCAGCATAAGGCCAAAATAACCAACAACTCCCTTGCACCTCCTTCAAGAAGGGGCATAATTTTGTCATGATGCCTTACAATTGCAGCATCCAAAATGGAAACAAGTAAGTAATCTGACTTCAAGAAGGGTTAAAGCCCTGTGTTTCAGAGGCCCCTATTACCTTGGCCTGCAGAAAATCTCCATCTTTTTAATATTAAATCTAGTTGTTGATTTACCTGTTACACTGCCTGTTGTGAAGTTCCTTAGTATTTTGCTTGGTTATTTTATTACTGTATTTGTTGTTAGCTGTTCTTGAATGTTTTAGATGGAAAGTAATTAGAAGGTACGTTAGGAATCAGGGGGAGGTGGAAATTCCTTCTCTGCTCCTGACAGTGATGCACTGAAGTACAGAACTATAGCTGGTGTGTTATTTGCACTTTTTATCACAAGCCTATCTTCCATCCTGAAGATGGAAATGAACTGTGATACAGAGCATTTGTTTCTGACTCCTGCAGTACAGTCCCTTCTGTGATTTTCTCAAAGTCCATCTTGAAACAATGCAGGTTCCTTGCCTCTGCTAACCTAGTTGGAAGATTTTTCCATGACCTCACTCTTCTCCTGATTAGAAAGCTAATTTCCAGTCTAAGCTTATTCGTGGCCTATTTTTTCATCTTGTGTGGCGTTATTCTTTAATTGAATGTTTATTCTTCTCCTCTTTCCCAAGACTTTTCCAGTTATTGTACATAGTAAGTAATCACTTGGACATGGCTGTTCTGCTGCCTGAAGGGCCTGTTCATAGTACCTCTGCTGTCCTATGTACGTGAATTGGCATACAGACCTGCACATAAGCTCTTCTACCCCCATCAATTTCTGAGCCTGAGGTTCACGTGTTGAGGAGGTATTTCATTATATAGCTTCCAATTCTCCTAATTAAATAACATCATCAGTTTTTATGTCGACACAATGCCAAATTTCTAAGTGGTAGTATGTTATGCTCTTCTGCTGGTAAGAAATGGTCTCAGGATTGTCATTAATGTTCCAGAAAATCATCTGAGTAAAACTCTTGGGCTGATTCAGAACAAGTGCAAAATAAGCCTGCCTTTGCAACTTTTATTATTCAACTGATCAGCACTTCAACAAGTGAGAAAAAGCGAAAGAAATCACCGACAAGTAGCTCTGGATCCTGTTGTCTATCATAGACAGAGGAGGGTAAACACAGCAGCCTGTGTATGGTGCTTCCCAAAAGCCCTAAATGCTAGATTGTACTATAGAATGCAGAGTCCATTCTATAGCAAAAAAAAAAAAAAAGAAAAAAAGGAACTCCACACCTCCCAGTTGTTGTAGGTAATTAAAATAGAAAGACTATGGCAGCCAGAACCACTGTTGCTGTTAATACATTCAGAAGTGAACACCTGCATTTACAGAGCAACAAAGCATACAAAAGGCAGATGCTCTCTTTGGCCCAGCTGTTTCTCTCTTGCACTGCACTTCTTTTTTCTTTTATGGAAGAAAAATAAATGTCTGCAGCCAGTGATGAGCTAAAGGAGAGCAGTTATCTCTACATCAGGGAAGCTATTTTCAATGAAAAAAGGTTAAGTCTCCGCAGCCTACAAGAAAAAAATGATTCTTAAGGATTTTTCTGATGGCTGGTTTGCTCCTTTGCTTCATGCTATCAGCCTGTAGCAACAACCTTTCTTTCCTGCTCAACGGACTGAACAGTGACATCCTTACAGTGTAGACTGGGTCTTGCTGTTGAGCTCACCTGCTGGGAGAAGGTGGCCCTCAGAAGGGCATCACACTCCAGCACACAGATTTAAGTGTACAAACTTATATTCTGCCTCTATGTCCTGAAATGATTGCTTATTGTAAATCTTGCTCAACACTCACAGCCAGTGTGGAGAACAAAGAAAGCTGCCTTATCAGCGTTTCCTCTGTGGGGGAAATGGGGGTCTATTCTTGATGTTTTTGCATTTGGGAATGTGTGTCTCAGCTACTTGGGGTGCAAAGCGGCGTCTGCAGTAGGGGCAGGCAGTGTAGTCTGGATTTTCAATGGGAGGCAGCGGAGGCAGGTCAGGTACCTTCCCTCCCTTGGACAGCACTTGCTGCACCTGCCGGGCATGGCGCAAGGTCTGGATGAAAGCCTCATGGTTCTGCCTCCAGTTGTTTCTTCTGGGTGGCTTATTCTGCAGAAGGGAAATGGAGTCAGAGCAACTGGCACTGCCTGTCAGCCTCCATTCTCAGCCTTGCTCTCATGGCCCAATTCTAGACACCTCTTCCTGAGCAGTCTCCGTTGATGTAAAATCCCCAGGCAGTAGCGCCGAGGAAATCATAGAATGGCTCAGGTTAGAAGGGATCTTAAAGATACTTGAGCTCCAACTCCCATGCCATGTTCAAGGTTGCCAACCACTAGTTTGAGCGAGATGCTACAGCTGCTCTGAAGGAGCAGACCTGCATGTTTCCACTGCCCTCAGATTGCTAGTCCATTTTATTACCTGCTTTTTCAGTCAGTTCCCCACAGCCCTCCAGCATCACAGATCTTTACCACAGCAGACCCAGTCTGCCCTGATGAGCATTCTGATACAAGGAGCAAGTTCTCTCCAGGAGTACCCCATGATGCATTACAAAGACAAATCAGTCAGAAACAACACCCTCTCATCCTCCCACCCAACCCAACCTATTAAATTTTATGTGGAAGGCAAGCGTCTTCCAGAGGCAGTGGCTGGGTTGTGTTCCTCAGCCCTGTGTTCTCATGAGGGTGCTTGTGTCTCAAAACTAGATCTCAGGGAGGGAGGAAAGTGAACAGTATGTGTGAACCGAGGAAGGCTAAGGGACTGCAAGTTACCTGAGGTCTCTCTGAGCTCTTCCGCTGCTGAAACTCTTCCAGGTCTGTGCCCCTGGCTCTGGCCTTGCTGGAGTCAAATGTTTTCCTTTTAGAGCCTTGGCTCTTGCTGCAGATATTCATGTGTTTCTTGAGCCTGGTGCAGAGAAACTTGCGGCCACAGAAGCTGCACTGTCCAAGCTCCCCCTTTTCTGTGGGGCTGGCAGCCTGCATGTACAGCATCTCTGCAGGCATGCTGTCACCACAGTCTGAGAGAACAGAGGAAGAAGGGCCATGTTTTAAGTCCAGCTCTGAGCATGAGGCTAAACTCTGCACCGGTATGCGGTCTCGAATTTTGTTGTTGCTGGCCACCAACCGTTCCTTCTTCAGTTTCCCCATAGCCAGTTCTTGGGGATGGAGAGTAGTGCCTGTCTTCGGGACAGTGACCTCTGCAGACTGCATCCCACTAAAATCCCCATCACCCGTCCTGATGGTAAATCTTATACTTTCCTCTCCAGGGTGCCACATGGCCTTTTGCCTGCGAGTCCTCTCCATTGCTCTGGCTCTTCTCTCCTCTGCCTCCATCAGTTCCTTCTCTCGTTGAATCCTCCTAAGCTCCTCCTTTGTTCTCCTCAGCTTCTCTCTGAGAAGAGCCTCTTTCTTTCGGATTTCCTCTTCCAGGGACCGTCCCTCTGCCTCCAGCCTTAGGATATAAGCCAGATCTCTCCTGTATAGAGAGGAATCTGACTGTTTAGGCTCTGCTGTCCAAGGAGGGAGCACTGCAGCTAGCTGAGGCTTCCCCGGCAGATGCCTTCCTTTGCTTTTTGTGCTAGTCCTACTATTTAGAGCCTCCTCCATGTATGGGGAACTTCCGAGCTGTCCTGTATTGACTGCAGGAAGGCTCCCAGTGTTGTGCTGAAAAATTGGTTTCAGAGGACATGAACGATCCACTCCTTCTTTCCGTTTGGCTAATGATTTAGAGGGCAGAGTCTTAACCTGGCTGGCAAGATGCTTGTTTTGCAGCCCAGCTGAGCTGGAGCCTCCATGCTGGGAGCTGTGCTTATTGCTTTCTGCAGAAAGAGGATATGAATAGCTTTGGCTCTTTCGGGCACGGGGATTTTTCAGGCTTTCCTCTTTGTCTGATGGGAATTCATGCTGACAACTGTTTTCTAGGTGTTCCAGAGGGGACTGATGTACTGAGACTTCAGAATCATAACTGTCTGTCACTGAGTGCTTAGCAGCTGCCACCACAGAATCCACATATGGAAACAAAGCCAGCTGCAGCTCAGCCATTCAGTACCTGGGAAAGAGCCTGAGGTTAGAAGCAAAATCACTACAGACTACTACATCCAAAACTGGACAGATTTCACAGAATCATAGAATCCTTAGGGTTGAAAGGGACCTTCAAAGGTCATTTACTCCAACTCCCTTGCAGTGAACAAGGACACGCATAGATAGATCAGGTTGCCAGGGCCTGATCCAACCCCATCTTGAAAATCTCCAGGAATGGGGCATCAACTTCATGCCCCGTGTTAATGCCCCCCCATAACCATGGGGCATCAATCTCTGGGCAACCTGTTCTAGTGCCTCACCACCCTCACTGTAAAATATATATAATATATATTTATATCCAGCCTAAATCCACCCTCTTTTAGTTTGAAGCCATCTCCCCTTGTTCTGTCACCAGACCCTGCTAAAGAGTCTGCCGTTCTTTCCTCCCATTTACATACTGACAGGCAGCTCTCAGATCTCCTCAGAGCCTTCTCTTCTCCAGGCTGATCAGCCCCAGCTCTTTCAGCCCGTAAAATTTCCTCCCAACAACCTACACTTGTAAGTTAGATTGAATATTGGCAAAGGTTTTCTAACTCCTCTGGGTTCTTTCTGAGCCCTGTCTTGTCACTGTAGAGACCAATCGCATTACCAGGGAAGCAGCTATGCCCGCAAGGAGCGCTTACCGAGACTCGTCCCTGCCCGGGCGCCGCCGTCAGAAGGCGGCCCATTCAGCTCACCACGGCTTTTCCGTGGCTCACTCGGCCCCGTACTCCCGCATGGCGGTACCGGCTGCCCACGCAGAGCCTCCCTAAGGAGGAGCACAGCTTCAAGGTCTCCGAACCGCCGCCCCCGCGGGGAGCGCACTAAACACGAGTCCCTGGGCCCGCCCCCGCCGTTACCTGCAGAGTCGCCCGCAGCGCTCATCTGCGTTGCGGCTCCGGGAGCGACCGAGCCGAGCTGAGGGCAGGGGCCCCGGGCCCGGCCCCGCCTGCAGGCCTAGCAGAACGGCGCCGAGCTCCCGCCGCGCCGTGTTGACGACTGTTGCCTGGAGACCGGCACGCGGGTGCCACTGCCTGTGCCGCTCTAGCCGCTGAGCTCGTCTCTATGGGTACTCAGCCGCGCATCGGTTGCGCTCCGGGGAAGAGACGCTCGAGGGGAGTGGGGACGCTCTGCTGCTTGGAAGACTTTATCTCTATGGTCGAGTGAAAACCGCCGGCCGAAGGGGAGCGGGAGGGAGGCCTCATGTATTATTCATGAAGCGGTTAGGAAAGTCCCGCCTTCCCTGCGGAGCTTGGTTCTCGTTGGTCCCTGGGTGGCAGCGAAGGCCATGCTGCGCGTGCGCCGTGGGGTTGGCGGCTGCGGCTGGTGGGGGTTGCGGTGGCTATGGCTGGGAGCGAGGGCTTGGTGTCCGTGGATTACGAGGTGTCGGGCAGAGTGCAGGGCGTCTTCTTTCGCAAGTACACCCAGGTGCGCTGCGGGGTGGTGGGACGGGGACCTAGGGATTCCTGGGCCCGGCCGGGCCAGCTGATGCGATGTGGGGTTTGTAAGGCATCGCGCTGCCCGCTGTTGGTAGCTCCAGCAGCCCGGAGCCATCTCACGTCTGCGTTATCTCCTCAGAGCGAGGCCAAGCGGCTGGGGCTGGTTGGCTGGGTGCAGAACACGAGCCATGGCACCGTGCAGGGACAGGCCCAGGGTCCGGCCGCCAGGGTGCGGGAGCTGCAGGAGTGGCTGCGGAAGATCGGGAGCCCCCAGTCCCGCATCAGCCGGGCCGAGTTCACCAACGAGAAGGAGATTGCGGCGCTGGAGCATAAGGACTTCCAGATCCGCAAGTGACCTCGTCCAGAAAGCAGCCAACCTGGGGCACAGGCTGCCCCTGCCGAGCGTCCATCCCCAGCTCCCAGCTGTTCAGACAGCTGACATCCGGCTCTAGAGAACTGTATTTCCTTACATTTCTAACTTATTGGTTTGTTGTACTGTTGTGTAGCACTAAAATGCTTGTGTCACTTTGATAGGTGGAGCGTGGCTCGGTGCTGTCTGTACTGATGGGGCTGCCCAGGGGCACAGCCTCTGGTCCCCGAAGGCCTGAGTTGTGAGCGGCAGTGCTGAGTACCGTATGGCATTGGTGTAACGCTGTGCTCGTGTGGAGGAAACTGCAGAATTGGCACCAGCTGTAAATACTGCTGAAAGTGAGATTGTTGTGACCTTTGTCTCTCCGAAGCAATTTATTGTGTTCTTTACTCGCACAGAAGTTTATTTTTGTTAGAATAAAGTACTTGGAGCTTGCTTGAGTTGAATGTGGCTGTCTGGACGCGGTGGCACCCTGTCGGGGTCGGTCTCCCTGCTCCTTCCCTGTCCGCACGGGGGCGGTAGGAAACTACAGCTCCCATCGTGCACCGCCTGCCCGGAGCCGCGGTTCCGTGTCGCGAGCCGCGTCCCAGCCTCCGGGGCGCCGCGCGCATGCGCCCTGTGCTCCCCGCCCGGCTGCTGCTGCGCTGCTCCGCAGCGGGCGCCGCGTGCCGGGCCCATCGACGGTTGGGCGCGAGCCGCGGCCGTTGAGGGGCTGCCCCGCCTCGCCCGCAACCCCGCGAGCCGAGAGGGGCAGTGCCGGCGGCGGGGCGGGGAGCTCGCGCCCTCAGGGCCCGCTGGTTGCCGAGGCGAGCGCGCTTTCCTCCAGTGCGCAGCTCCCCCAGCTCGCCTTCTTGCTTCGGTACTGTAACAGAGGAGAAAGAGGTAAAAGTGAGGGGACGGCAGCTCGCAGCCCAGCCCTTTGGTGGTGCTTGTTGCCTGTTTGCGGTGCTAACGGGAGCAGAGGCCCTGTGCTTGCAGGCCGTGTGAGTTTGGCCTCACTGCTGTCAGATTTTCCTTGACTTACGCTGCGTTTGGGAAGTGTGTGCTGTTGGGTGCACGGACCGGCTTCTGGCCGTGTGCTTTGGAGGCACCGGCTGATGTGCACTCAGAGGCTGGGCCTTTAAATACTAGAGAAAAAAAAATCAAGCCCTCGATAATTTCTTCACTCTTCCTTTTTTTTTTTCCTTTTTTTTCCCCCTCCCCACCTGCGTGGCTGTTATCAAGAACACGGAGCCGTGATCTCCCTGCAGTTTGCCGAGTTTCTCTCCTGCCTGCTTTTGCCATGATCAAGCACTTGGCAGAGGACGTGCAAGCCAGGCTGCGCTCTGGAGTGGCGGTCACCTCGCTGGGGCAGTGTGTTGAGGAGCTTGTCTTCAACAGCATCGATGCCAAAGCAACGTGTGTAGCTGTTAGGGTGGATTTGGAAGCTTTTAAGATCCAGGTGGTGGATAATGGCTCCGGCATGGGGAGAGATGAGTTAAGTAAAATGGGAAAGCGGTACTTCACTAGTAAGTGCAGCTCAGTGGCAGACTTAGAGAAGCTGACATTCTACGGCTTCAGAGGGGAGGCTCTGGCAAGCATAGCAAACATGGCCAGTGTTGTGGAAGTTTCATCTAAGAGCAGCAAGACAGCAAAAACTTTTGTGAAACTGTTTCACAATGGGCATGCACTGGAAGTCTGTGAAGCTGAATTGAGCAGGCCAAGTGGCGGAACGACAGTGACCGTGTGTAATCTGTTCCATCAGTTACCAGTGAGGAGGAGGTGCATGGATCCTGTGCTGGAATTTGAGAGGGTGAGGCAGAAAGTAGAGGCTATATCATTGATGCATCCCTCTGTTTCACTTTCTTTAAGGAATGATATTTCTTGTTCTATGGTGCTTCAGCTCCCTAAGACAAGAGACGTTTACTCTCGTTTTTGTCAAATATATGGGCTGGGCAGATCTCAGAAGTTAAGAGAAATAAAGCATAAGTCTGGGGGATTTGAGATAAGTGGTTACATCAGTACTGAAGGACATTACAATAAGAATATGCAATTCTTGTATGTCAATAGAAGGCTTGTTTTAAAGACAAGACTACATAAACTGATTGACTTTTTATTAAGAAAAGAAAGTGTCATTTGTAAGGCAAAAAGTGTCCCTGTGAGCAGACAGGGTTCCTCAAGTCCTGGTCGCCTTCGTTGTGGCCCAGAGTTGTACGGGATCTTTGTTCTCAATGTGACCTGTGCGTACAGTGACTACGATGTGTCTCTGGAACCTGCAAAAACTCTGATTGAGTTCCAGAACTGGGATGTTCTTCTAGCTTGTGTAGAGGAAGGAGTGAAAATGTTTTTGAAACGAGAACATTTATTTGTTGAACCTTGTTGTGAGGACATCAAAGAGTTTAATGAGGATAATAATTTTTGTTTGCGTAATGCTCCAGTTACGAAATCCACACTCCCTGAGGATAAGAGCATCCAAGAAAACTTTCAGAAAGCATGTGATGAAATTATAGATTCCTATGAAGTGTGTAAATTGCAATCAAAAGATGTCAAAAGAAAATCCATAGTGGGAAAAAAATCTTCAAATCCTACAGAGTCAAATACACAGGAAACTGAAATTTCCTCAAATCAGAAGATTGTTGAACTCTCTGGTCAATGTAGAAACAAAAAAGCAGAGATTCCACTGTCCAAGAAAGATGACACCACTTCTAATTTCATTATATCTGATATGTTGGAACAGGAGCCAAAAGACACAATCAGTTCCCAAAAACGGTGTGATACTCATCTGAAATCTTCAGAAACTCTCCATTCCTCTCTGACTGAAGGAGCCAGATCAGAAATAATGAAAAAAGGCAGTTGTGATGACTTGCGGCGTTGTGCTGAGAATTGTGCAAAAGGCGTAGGAAGCCAGCAAGACAAAGTTGTGCAGAAAAGCAATACGCTTTGTATCTCAAATAATACTTCTACTTGGTGGCCATCTGAGAGAGAAGACCCTACTGAAACAGCAGGGGAATCTGAAACTGTCTATGGAAATTCATTGATAAGACTACCTCATGTAAGAGAAGGAGACAGGGAAACAACTGAAGTAATAGATAATGCTGGAAGAGGGACTGTTAGTTCAGTACCAGAAAAAGTGCGTTCTCACTTCAGCCTCAAAACGTGTATCATGCAAAATGAGCCACCCCGTGAACATAAACAAACAGAAACAAATCTTGCATTAAACATGCGCTGTAGGGCTTGTCCTGTGAGTGCCAAGCACACTTCCATGCACAAAATGAGTTTGCCGATTCAGTCTTTAAATGCTAAGTATGTTTCCAGTAACGTGAATAAAGAATATATACATCTCTGCAGCAGAGAAGTTGGCACGGCTGATGGAAATGAAAGGTCAGAGAATAGGAGTTTGCCAAGTCAAGCACGTGATGGGAGAGACGTGTCCATTGCTACCAGTAAAAGACATTATGAAACATCAAATGTGTCAGACTTGCCACTGGCAACATCTTCAGGTATTCCTCACAGTAAAGCTGTAAAAAGCCCTAGAAGGCAATTAGCTGAGCCAAGATCACAGCCTTGCAAGAAGCTGAGCCTGTCTACGCAGCTGGGTTCATTAGAAAAGTTCAGGAGATATTATGGGCGTGTTAAGTGTACGCTACCAACACCATCACCAGAGCAGAGTGAGTTTTGTCTCCCAGTTTCCAATGTACAAGCTAATTGCGACTTTTCAAGGAGTCAGAATAACAGTCATGGTCGCTTGAACATTTGTGAGACTCCAACTTTGGATTCTAATAATAACAGCCATGTTTTGAGATCTTTGGATGAAGTTTTACTCTGCAGTGGAGAAACTTCACTGGACAGACAAGCCCTTTGTCGCAGCCCTTTGACGTTGTCTGATTACTCAGAGGTTAGTAAAAAAACTGTGAGTAGTCAAAGATCTCCAGGATCCCTATCATCCAAACTGCGCCAAATGAAAAGTGATCACCGAGCAGTGAAACAGTTGGGTGAACAACTCCAAACAGATTCAAGTAGAAAAGATAACCACTCTTTTGATCTTGAATCTTCAAGTAATGATTTTTTGTATAACCCTTGTCAAAGGTATAAATCTTCAGTGGAAGAAATGAGGGAAGGTTGCAGCATTTCTAAGAGGGATGCTTGCCCACAGTCAGATGATTTGAGAGCAGAGTCCATGAAATGTACTGTTAGCCTGTCACCACTCAGCAGTACTGAAGGAGAGTACACAATCTCTGCAAGCAGCGTTTTACCATTTCCAGCAGAAAAAGATGGCATTGACATCATCTGTGAAGATGAAAGGATGTTAGATGAATCATCAAAACAAAATGTGAAAGATCCTGAGGTTCATTGCATGACTTTCCCAAGTAACTTGGCATTCTCTGGGGATAATGCAAGAACAGGTGATCCCAGAGATGATTTGCGTAATTCAGACTGGCTGCAAGATTTTGATGCTTTATTGGGTAAGACAATCTACATCAATAAAGCAACAGGACTGAGCACCTACAACACTCCTCCTGAAGAGTTTCCAGCTGCCTGCATTAAAGATTTAACAACAATGACCGTGAATGTTGTCTCAGAGAATGGTAAGATGATTTGTTGTCATTAAAATGGGATGAGGAAAACAGTATTTGTTCTGCTAGGTGCATAGAATATTTTGGTAGCTGCACATGACACTCATACTGAAAAATCCATGGCCTTACTCATAGCAGCTGTTCAGAAAACAGAATGTGTTGGTGACTGTGGAGATAAACATGTTAATGTTAAGATGTTAAAAAATGGTTTTTAATAAAATAGTGAAAAGAAATATCAGCACTTAGGTTTCACTAAGCATCATTACATGTACTGTAATCACTGTCGTAAATAATTGCTGTCATACACAAAGGCTGCTCTGAAATGAATTCCTCCTGTTTTATTATGCTGGCCCATAACTAACATGAGAGTCAAATGCTGATGGTACAGCAGAAGAGGTTGAACCTCTCACCAATATTCCATTGCATGTTGTTGCTGTGCGACAGATGGCAGCAAAGGGGCAGTCTGATAAAATGGTTTCTGATATGGGAGTCCATGTGAAGCAGAGGGGAAGAACTGACTTCCTCTATGTGGAAAAACTTGCACCCACTGAAATTCACTGACTCTCGCTGAACGTTTGTAGAGATCCAACAGTGGCTGTGAGCACAGTGAAATGGTGGGTGGTGCCTTTCAGCAGTGGTAACAGCAAGAGTGTGTCACCTCCACTGGTGCAGATTTTTTTACAAGTATGGCATGCAGGCTTTTGTTCACTGCTGGCAAAAATGCATAGCTAATGGAGGTGACTATATTGAAAAGTAGTGTTTTGTAGTTGACTTTGAATTTCAAAGCCACTGATTTATTAAGAATAGCGTATTGAAGGTTAGGGAAATTGCACTGGTTGGTAGCAGATGGAAAGACATAGGAATAATCCATGTCCTCTTGCAGGGGATCCATATCCTTTGGAGAGGAAAAGGACCCCCGGGTGTTGGTTGACACTTGGCTGAACATGAGCCAGTAGTGTGCCCAAGTGGCCAAGAAGGCCAGTGGCATCCTGGCTTGAATTAGAAATAGGCAGCAAGAACAGAGAGGTGATTGTCCTCCTGTACTCTGGTGAGGCTGCAACTTGAGTACTGTATTCAGTTTTGGGCCCCTTGTTACAAGACACTGAGGCACTGGAACGCATTCAGAGAAGGGCAATAAAGCCGATGAGGGGACCGGAGCACCGGCCTTATGAGGAGCAGCTGAGGGAGTTGGGATTGTTTAGTCTGGAGAAGAGGAGGCTCAGAGGGGACCTTATCACTTTCTACAGTTCTCTGGAAAGAGGTTGTGGTGAGGTAACAGCAATAGGGTGAGAGGGAATGGCCTCGAGATGCACCAGGGGAGGCTCAGGCTGGATATTAGAAAAAACTTCTCCGAAGGAGTGGTCGGGCTCTGGAACGGGCTGGTCAGGGAAGTGGTGAAGTCACCATACCTGGAGGTGTTCAAGGAATGTGTAGATGTGCTACTGAGGAACATGGTTTAGTGGGCAGCACTGATGGTAGGTGGGTGGTTGGATTAGATTATCTTAGAGGTCTTTTCTGACCTTAATGATTATTATGGATATCCTCCATCTCCATCTCGGCAGTAGCTGCCTGCTATCCTGTCTAGTCATAGGCCATGTACTCCGTGTGCTCAAGAGAAATGTAAGATTTTGTAGGTTAGACTTAGGCATCTTTGAACTGATTAAGCTGACCATTACAGGAAAATTAATGACGGTTTGTGTTTTTTTTTCATAATCAAATGACTTTCTGAACAACCCAATATTCTGCATCAATATGATAATAATGTAATTGAGGCAAGTGACATTCAATATTCAAGTGTTCTAATTGCATGTGGTTTGCATGTATAAGGTAGAGAAGTTATTCTTGGCACCTATTCTGATGTTACCTGTCAGAATAATAGTTTTAATAATACCTCTATGAGCTCTGAATTCTCACTGGCCGTCAGACAAGAAAATCCTAACTTCATGAGCAACGTATGTCCTGAGCAAGGCTTTCCCCTACAACAAGGGGGGAAATGCTTTTCTTCGTTTGTGACACGTATAAAACATTGGACTCCTGTTTACATAAATGATAGATGGTTCTGTGAACTTGAGAGATAATATCTCCTTGAGGCAATAACTATAAAAGTTCTATCAAAGTCCAAATGAGATGGAATTCTTAATTTTGTCCCGGTTCACCAGGAATTGCATGAGGGCATCTTGTCCAGTGTGAGGTAGGAGAGTCTGTGACAGTTGGATGCTGAGTTACCTTCCTGTGCTGAACTGCCAGTTTGGATTCTTGAGAGGATTCTTATCCCCCAGGGCAGAACCATCACCCGGCTTTTCTGGGATAAAGCCAACACTCAGGAGTCTATGGACTGGCCACAGGACCTCATAGAACCTTTTCCTACTGAGCTTATCAGCACACAGCCGGTGGATTTTTTTGTGTTTTTTTTTCTTTTGGCTTTATCACTCTGCCATGTTTCCTGAATGCACACCCTTAATTTCTTAGTAGAAAGGAACTTTATTAATTCATTATTATTTCACAAAGAATAGAAATCTGAATTGTACCAAAGGAAGGGTGAAATGTTTACCACTGTGCTGGAAATCTGAGCCGCTTAATAATCTTGATAACAGTGCAGGTTTGTAATATCATTAAATCATTCCTGGGCGGGTAGGAACATTGTTAGGCTAACTTTGATATCTCACATGGTCTTACTGGCTTGTAGTTTTCAGTCTTACAAGGTGCTGATGACTGCTGATAACTATTGATGGTGGTGGTAATGGATTGACGGCTCTGCCACACCTGAAAAGAGGGAAATCCACAGTGTTTTGATTGTCTGTATGACCTCTCTTTCCTCTTAGGGTAACACTTCTGATTGCATTAATTCTTGAAGTAATTCTTATGTGATTAAGGCTGTAGCCAGTTTTTAAGAATGACAGTCTTGCAGAGGCCACATTTCCAGCTACAAGTGTATCTGAAAATTTTTACGGATGTGCTGCTATTTCTTAATGCTAGATTGCCAAATCAGCATAAGAGTCTAATTTACCCAGGGCTAAGCATACATTCACTTATGAAAATGTAATTGTATAGTCTTTTATAGTTTTGCACACTGATGAATCTGCAGAAGTAAATTTATGTTGTTCTTAGGGTTTCAGTGCAGGTGCCATCCCTTTAGAAGTGAGATTGTGCTACCCTTCCTTCCTAGACCTCGAAAAGAGAAGACTCTAGCAAGTCAGGATCAGAGAGGTAGGGCCAGCTTTCCAGGACACGGTGTACTGCTGTAAAAACAAATGAAAGAATTCTCCCAGATGTTCCAACAGGAACACAGAATTACTCAAGGTCTGCTAACAATGGGACTGTGTGAGTCATCTCAGATCTAGAACTGGAAAAAAAACCTCTTTGAGGGTTGAAGGCAGGTTAGGGGGTACTTATTTACAGATTAAATACCCAGGTCTTTGTTGAATGATGCCAATAGCTTAAGGAATAATTACCTAGTCCATTCTTTGTACTCATTCCAACCTTGGAATGTGAAAAATAGCTTCAATCCACACATTCTTTTTGTGGTAGAACGGATGAAATCACCTTTTAGGTATGTAGCTTTGTCCAGAAGCAGTGGGTAGCTAAATAGGTCCTTCATTTGTTTTCTTTTGTTTTTTTTTCCCCTCCTCATTTTCAAGGCCTATGGAATTGTGCTGCAGCATGCTCAGGAAGCTGCACAGGGTCTCTTCTAGATAAAGCAAACAATAGGGAAGCCCACTCTCATGCTCCATTATTTACCTGTACACTCTCCCATTTTACTAAAGGAAAAAATGTAATTACACCTGTGTGAGTGAGAGGTACCCAGCGTGCCTTCTGCTGACAGCTTATGGTAGTGCCTGTGTTATCTGTGTGTCCCTTCCCAGGTGGTGAAGGCGAGTCTCTGCAGTCCATGCTTTCAGAATGGGATAACCCTGTTTTTGTTCGCTGCCCAGAGGTAAGCATTATCTTGTATCTCATGCCAACACAGGAGTTATTTTATCTGATGTGGGGACCAAAACTGCAAGTATTGTGACTGTTCTTTAGAATTTATTCAGTGATATTTTAGACTGCAGACCTTGCAATTATGTTTTACGGGTGGTTTATATACATGTCATTTTTGTGCATGTATTCAAAGTTGGAGAAGCAGATATTGGGCTAATCTTTTATCTTCCATCATTTCAAAAGCAAAACATTCTTGTAAGCTATCTTCTTCTTTACAGAAACGTTCATCTTAAAATTAAAAGGTTATCAGATGGCAAAATAGTAATATATTGTCTGTCCTCTTTGTGGACAGAGTAAAACAACTCATCTTTCTCCTCTGGGTGCAATGGGTCTTAAAAGTTTAGTTTACTGTAGTTGTTTTTGTAGCCTAGCAGGACTATGGCATGTGAGAGAAAACAATGTTGGAACTGTTAGAAAGACTTCCTTTGTTGTCATGAGGCAGCATTATCTTTAATCATCATGTTGTAAGTGTGTAAACTTACGTATGTAACCATTTCCACCTGCACACAATGGGGATGGAGTCACAAACCACCTGCTGGTGAATTTTTGAAAAGGAACAATTCTGTTCATCTGTTACAGTGACAGACTGAGTCATTGTAGGGTGATACATTTTTTGAGACTCACTCTGCTGGGAGCTTACCGAGGCTGGTAGTCGACATCAGGTTTTCTGATAGGCATTCACAATTAGCTGAATGCACTGAAGTTAGTGGGTTATCCCAGATGGGAAAATAAGTGGGGATGGAAACAGAGGGATTGCTAGATTGTATCTTTAACTAGTGCTGTGATTGAGTGGAAAGCTTGGTTGTCACAATATGAAGAGCTGTTTCCAGAACGTTTTTTTTCCCAAATCTGACTTTTTTTTTTCCCTACGTTCATCATAGGTGGCTTGAGCCTAGAAACTATTCATGTAATTCACTTTTATTTTTACAGATAGCTGTTGATGTGACCAGCGGTCAGGCTGAGAATCTTGCTGTGAAAATTCATAATATTTTGTATCCTTATCGTTTTACCAAAGACATGATTCATTCAATGCAGGTACAACATGAACTATTGCTAGTTTTCATGCTATAATTCCCACTCTGCCATTGGAATTTTCTGTTGTCTCTGCCTTGTAGGAGTGAGGTATCTGGGGAAATAGATCATATCCTTAGTTTTCACAAACACAGTCAGAAATCTTGGTGTGTGATATCATCAGACACACATGTCAAGCCAGATCTTCATATCTGGATAATCATCTCTCTGCAAAATGACTAAAATTCACTGGCTGCGTGGATAAATCAAGAGGCAGCCTTGTTGCTGCTTTGAAACACTGCTAACTAAATGATATTTCAACAGCTGGCTTTTTATATTTCTTGTAAATATTTGCTAGTTGATTGTCTCCTGAAATCTGTGTCCCATGGTTCTATGTTTATTGACTTTAGAAATTTAATTCTTCAGCAGAGCGATTTCAAAAGCAAATCCTAGATTTCCTGGAAAGACTTGAAATTTCCTTTTAAGATTTATATCTGCTCTGAAAAGCGATTCTTAAAAATAACATTGTAACATGAAGTCTAACTATTTTAATGCTTTTTCATTGTATATTTTAATAGTTAACTTAAAAGCTCATGTAACGTATGGCGTCAGCTTACATTCTTGGCATTTATAGAAATCTTCAGGTGAATTCTCTCCCTCTCTTACATATTAATGACTAACAGGTTGCAAACTGGCATTATTCTCATGTGATCATGTTGCTGACTTTGAGATTGAAGGTTCTGACTGGGTGGGACCTGGTGATATTAAGGTCAGGGTGAAGAAGGATGGAAATGATTCTCCCTTCCTTATGTTGCATGTGCAGGAATAACAAGAGAAATAAAGTTACTACAGGAAACAAATTATGTTTCAAAAAGGCAGGAGAAGAAAGCTGTGAAACAGAAGGAAAAAAACAGAAAAAATAGATTAATGTCTCGTATGCCTTCAAAGAAATAGGATCGTCTATTCATTTTTACCTAAGAGGTGGATAATGCATGTGTTGTAAGACAGTGTTCACAGCGGGCTCTGTACCTCTGACTCAGGGAGACTCCTTCCTTATTTCGCATCTGTTAATTTAAATATAAAAATTAGATCCTGAAAGCTTGATGCATGGCTGCTCAGTATTCCATCTGTAGATCTGGTTGATGTACGCTGGTTGGGAGGAAGTTAGAATCAACTCTGAAAAGCAAGTTAGGCATAACAAAAAGAGTGAAGAAGTTGCTTCCTGGTTACTACAAGTGATTAGCACAAACCCTTAAACACAGCTCAAATTATAAAAGGTTGTTTGTATCCTGCGGGCTGTGAACAGCTTTGATTCCCAGCTCCAGGAGCTTCTACACCACCATTCTGTAAATTTCCTCCTTAATTACAAGCTCTTGTGCTTGTAGCTCTTTCAAAAGACAGATTCAGAATTATTTTACTGGATATTGTGCAACTTTCTTATTTATTCCAGTCTGAACTGTTTCATGACAAATTATGGTCGTTTGACCTTCTTTTAGTGTTGTCTTATAGCCTTGCTAGAAGAATTGCTGCCTTTTCCATATTTAGCTCCTCATTGCTTTATAAGGAATAATTATATAATTTCACAGTGTTGGTTTTTCTAGTCCAAATTCTTTCAGCCTTCGAGATGAGAAAAGATGTATTTCTAGTCCCCCTTCTAATACCTCTTTCTGTTACGGCTGGATGGTGATTGTTCTGAGTATCTTTCAGGTTCTTCAGCAAGTGGACAATAAATTCATTGCTTGTGTAATCAACACCAGGAATGAAATGGATAAAAAGGAAGGTAAGAGCTACTATAGGTACTAAGGTAGCTCTCAAGTGCACTTAAACTGCAGAGAGAATACAGACCTGCTTGTATTGTTTCTTGCTTTGAGATGATACTGCGAGTAGAGGAAAATGTTAGTCTTCATATGAAATTTCCTGGATCTTCTTTCTCTTTATTTTGGACATCACTGAATGTTCCTATTACCTTCAGATTAGTATTATAAAAATAGATTATACTCAAACTACTAACATCTTCCAGACTGTTCGCAGTGTCTGGATATATCTGTTGCTGCAGCTTACTGAAGCTGTGTAGAAAAGGCTTTCAAAATCAGTAATTTTTGTAGCATTTTAAAGACAGTATTGAACAGAGCCATTGTTGATGACCTCAGCTTTTGTTCTGAAGTTAAATGACTATAACTTAAATGACTATGACTATATATAGGAGTTAAACTCCTATAGACAAGATTTTCTAATTGCCCTTAATTTAAATTACTCATTCGGATCATTCCATTTCAGTTCTGTAGTGACTTTGTTCTACCACTGGTCTTCCCCTCGCTTCACACATGTAGAACCTACTGGTGTTTATCTTGTAAATGTGGCCTCTAGGGAGCGGTCATTTTCTTCTTTCCAACCCATGTGCTTGTTGGGTACAAAGTTACCTGCTTTTAATCTCTTGTGGTACATTTTTTAGGTGGAAACCTGTTGGTTTTGGTGGACCAACATGCAGCTCATGAACGGATCCGCCTGGAGCAGCTTATTGCAGGTGAGAATGCAGATTGTTTCAGGAAAGATAGTGCACAGGAATGTGCAAACAAGAGCTGTCTTAAGGGGAAAGCTCGCTAACTAAGTTGTCGTGAGAATAAATCTGGGCTCTATGGAACCAATAGAACACTGATTTGTCAATTTGACCTTGATCTTTAGCAGAGTGCAGCCACTCAATATTTGTAGCAGTTATAGTATTGGTAGCTGAAAATGGTTACAGTGTTTCCAGAAATAGAAAATATGCACCCTACCCACACAGACCTATCAAATTAAAATAGGCCTGATGTAATGAAAGAGTAGGAAGACAGATAGGAAAAACAATGAACAGGAAATAGAAAAAACATCAGTAAGAGTATGTGATTATGCTGTGAAGAATAAGACATTGGGTGCAGACTAAAGAGCATAGTTTGTTTGGTTCCTTTCTAGCTGAATGCCACACTTGAAGCCTAAAATTTTTACATTCTGAAACTGTTTGCAAAGGGATAATGGTCTTTTCTGTAAGCCCATTAGCCAATGGATTCAGTGCTAAAAAGCACAACTATCCATCAAGTGCTTAGAAGTCACTGACTTTCTCTTTCATTAAGAAATACTGTGCAGCTCCTGCAGAGAGGTTTCCAGGAAATCTGCTCCTTTCGGTGAGGTACTGAATAAAGTTGAAGACTGAAGGGAGAGATGCTTAATGAGTAGTATTTTGATTTAGCCATTTATGAGAGATTTTTCTGTGGAAAAATCGCTGTGTGTGAGTTGGACTAAATATATCAGTAGGTTTTTCTTGCTATTTAGGGTGACTCTTTTTTGGAACCGGTGGGAAAAAAACAAAGTGGCATTAACCAACTTCTCCCCTGGGACTAGATGTCTAGTTTGTGACATTCCCAGTCCTCCACAAGTTTCAGGAGAAGGCATTTTGTGGTCACTTTTAATCCAAACAGAGATTATGTGCCAAACCATAGGGTCATTAAGGGCAATGCCTGCATAAGTATTCAAAGAGGCATATTTCTAAATGTTTCATTCACAGATTCCTATGAGAAGGAAGCTACCGCATGCGGCAAAAAGAAATTTCTGTCTTCCTCTGTCTCTCCCCCTTTAGAGATTGAAGTTACAGAAGAACAAAGAAGAATTCTATGGTTGGTAATGGCCGGTAGTGCTAAACTTTGGGGGAAGATTTCAATATCTTGCTAGGTTACCCCATCTGTTGATTGTTTCCTGAGTAGAAACCAGTTGGCTGTATCTATACTGTGGGAAATAGGTGTGCTTCTTGGGCACATCATTACATCTCGAGACAAAGCCCCATGGTGTGCCGTCCCTGTGCCACTGCAAAATTCTGTGGTTCCCCTGGCAAACCAAACTGTGATGCATGAGCCAGAGGAGTGCCCCAGAAGTCTCCAGCAGATCCTGCTGTCTGGAGACCAGGACTCGGAGTGCAGTGCCCATAGTATAGATACAGGAACTGATTTAATAGACTGTTGGAGAGGAGAGGGATGGGCTATGGAAAGCTTGTACTGTGAATCCTTCAAAAATGCATTCCTTAATTCTAGGTGTCTGCCAAGACTAACTAATGAGCACTGTTTCCCAAATGTTTCAGAATGGTGTACTAGTTACCATTAGGAAATTTAACTTTTGTATTGCAACAGTTTAGAACTAGATACAGAATCACAGAATCACAGAAACACCAAGGTCGGAAAAGACCTACAAGATCACCCAGTCCAACCATCCACTGATCACCAATAGTTCTCACTAAACCATGTCCCTCAACACAAAATCCAAACATTCCTTGAACGCCTTCAGGGTCAGTGACTCCACCACCTCCCTGGGCAGCCCATTCCAGTGCCTGACTACTCTTTCAGAGAAGTAGTATTTCCTAACATCCAGCCTGAATCTCCCTGAAGTTCTCTGCTAACTTCCACAGGTCTCCTTCATTGTTATTCTCAAACTCTCCTTTTTTTTGTGGTGCCTTTGGCAAACTCAGTAGCTTTTAAATCATTCTTTATTAAAATTGCTGCCTATTTTAGGGATACACTCGTTTGGTGGAATGTCCTTTTTGGGTGTATTCCAATTATAACAGTATCACTGGTATATGTTTGGTAATTCTTTTGTGTAACAATGGCAAATACCAGAAATTGTAGAGGAAAGTGTAAAGGACCATTATGTACCACCTGCTGTATGAAAAATGCGAGAATATAACCGTGGCTGCTCATAATTCAACAATATTTGGATGCCTTTGTTTCTATCCTTTAATGATATTCTTGCCAATATCACAATATTTTTAGTGCCTCTAGGTCAACTCTGAATTATTTTTACACTAATCTTTGAATATCTTTGTATCTACTTTTGATGGCCAAAACTGAATACAATACACCAAATGTCAGTATCCCACTGATTTCTGCTGCTATGCAATTGTTCCCCTGTCTTCTGTCTGTTACATCCACACTTCGTATTTTGTCTGTTGGTTTTGGCTACAGCTGATAGACTGCACAAACTGCTTGCTCTGCTTGCTTATTGAACTGCCATGACAGTGAAACATAGAGGGGATTTTTGAATTTTTGCTGTTTAATGTAGAAATCACCAAAGTGTACACAAACATCAAACTATTTGATAATGATTGCTGACAGTTTCTTCTCTTTTTGATGACAGGTTCTCCTCTTTTTTGTGTATTTTTCCATCCACAGGGAGACGTGTCAGATTAATTAAAGGTTGTTCTTTCCTTGGCTCTCTTTGCCTTATTTAACAGGACATGAGTTCTTTAGACCAGCATAAATCTCTTAAAATATTTTTCTGTCATAAGTATTTGCTGTCATGTGTCAATTGAAATCACTGTTTTTTAGGCTAGACTTAAAGCAGTCTTTGTAGTGCATAACTTTAATGTTTGGAAGATGTGTAGTGTTGCTATTTGTGTGATATTTTTTCCTTGAATCAGACATCTTGTGCATCTTTAGAAAACAAAAATTTATACATTTAAATGTAAAGCTCTCTGTGAATTACAGAAAAATTGTACCTAGATCTTGTGGCTGAGGAACATACAATATGCATAGTTGATTGGAGTGAAAAATTGGAGTAGAATGCAGAGTAAAAGGGCAAAATTAACTGGAATCTGAAGTATGATTTTCAAGATCAGAAACTTTTAGGAAGAAACACAGAGACTACACAAATATCCATTTAAGCGGTGAAGAAGTAGCTGCTTCTGTCTTACTTATTTTGGTTGTTGTTTTATTTTTTCTTCAGGTGCTGCTACCAAAATTTGAAGGATCTGGGCCTTGAATTATCATTTCCTGAGACCAACAACTCCTTGATTCTAGTGAAGAAAGTGCCACTGTGTTTTACAGAAAGAGAGGCCAATGAACTACGACGGAAAAGACAACCTGTCAATAAAAGCATTGTGGAGGTCAGCAGTGGATATGGAGCAAAGCAATTTGTGATACTGGCTTTTTTTCTGTGTTAAAGGCCCAAAGTATAGCATATCTTTCTTACAAGAGAGGCAAAGAAGTTCTCTTGGCCAGTGTAGGTGCCATCTCTTTTAGTAGCTAAACAGTCCTATAGTTGAAATCCCTGAACTATAACAGAAATGACAGAAATCTGTTTCAGACTTGAGATAGTGGAAAAGCAAAGAAATGTAGTAGGCAGTTCAGATGTTTAATCAGTTTTCTGCTCATCCTTTTAAGGAAACTGATGCAGAGAAACCAAGTAATTAGATTCAAGTCTGAAAAGACTTGGGATCAGGACTTGCACCTGAATCTTTTTCTGTGGTCAGTGTACAAGAAACTGCATCATTTTTCCTGAGGTGTATCCAGAACTTAAATTATACACAGATGTGGAGAACGGGGATATGGGCAGTAAAAGTGAGAAATACCAACTTACTGTCTTACCTTTTTGTTTTCAGGAGTTTATTAAGGAACAAGTTGAGGTGAGTAGCTATCTGCTTCTAAAGTTGACTGGAGTAACGCAAAGCTTATTGAAAGAACCGGAGGGAATAAGTGTGTTAAACACCAGAGATGTAGATTTAGGTCATTTGAAGCTCATTCTTGTTACAGTTCTCCTCATTCTTCATATTAAATGGAATGTAAGATGATGTTCTCTTACTAATTTTAGCTAGTGCAGACCACGGGAGGAGCACGAGGGACAATGCCTCTGACATTTCTGAAGGTGTTAGCTTCCCAAGCCTGTCACGGTAAGGAAACTGTACATTTCTTTCATTCTTCCATTTATTTTTTAGTCTTGCTGTTTCCTTATGACATAATTCCTGGGGTAGTGGTTTCAGAATGTGTTTGCAGGAATTGCAGGCTTACAGACTTTCATAGGGATGAGGAGATAACAGCCCATTTTCATGGTGTGTCACTACATTCTAAAGAATGGCTTTCGTGGCTAAAAGGCAAGACAGAGATTGCAGATAGCCTTGTGAATTTGTGGAAGCTAAAGATAACAGACACTTCTTGTAATGTTCTGCTTTAATTTTCTCTGGATGCCATTAAGTGCCCACTTGTGAGAAAGGACTTAGCGGCAGGGCTGGCGTTTGCTTTTGGAGCTCATGCCTGTCAGTGGCGAGTGTAAAGAACTCATATCAGTTCTATAGAATTGATAAAGGCTATCTTCTGGTTCTACTATCTCTTGGCATGTGAGCTGACTGCATCTTCAGCCCTGAAAAAAGTCTATTACAACACTATCTGAAAAGCTGGAATCTAATAATCCTGCAATCCATTAGAATTGGATTAGATGGAACAGTTTAGGCTTTACATAGCTGATTGTTATGCAATAGTGTGGTTAATTGAGCTAAGCCTTAAGCCAGCTTTTGCTGTTAGTCTGTCTTTGGGAGCTGCCTTATTTTCTTTGTAAGTAGCAGTTGTGGAGGGAGGTCTGTTGGGTGGTTTGAATTCTCTCTGGCAGCATGTGCAGGAATTTCATTTTGTTCCAGGAGCTATTAAGTTTAATGACAGTTTGACTTCAGAAGAGAGCTGTCGGCTCATGGAAGCTTTGTCATCTTGCCAGCTGCCCTTCCAGTGTGCTCATGGAAGACCATCCATGATGCCCCTTGCAGACATTGACCATCTACAGCAGGAAACGCAGGTACTGTGTGGGGTACCGGCAGGGAGCAGTACGCTCTGCATTATCGGAGGCATCTCATGTATGCGTGTTAGAAATTGAACCACCACTGCTGCATCTTACTTGAACTTTTATGTAGCTGTTATTAGCAAAATAAAACTTGAGAGAATTAAGCCTCTGTTCTGCAAAAACTTTGGCAAAGATTTTACCATGTTCCATTTGAATGACTGCACTGACTTGAATGGAGTCAACTAATGTTTAAAGTTGAGCATGTATTTACAGCAGTTCAGTTTATGAGTGTAAAACTTTGAACACATGGAAATGCGGATATTCTGCCAGGAGCAAAGATGCTAAAGATTAAACACCTGCTGCCCCAAAGTTGAAGATGCCATAAAAAATCCTAACTCTTTCCCTTTTGCAAATATACTATAATAAGTTATTAAATTAGCTTCTGTGGGAAATCATGTGGGACTTTGAATTAGACATGAAAAAATGGGAATGTTTCTATTAGATAAAAGAGTGTGGAGGCACTGAAGTTGGTTTACTTACGACTCAGCGCTGCTTCACTTTTCTCCCTCCAGGCTAAACCTAACTTGGCAAGACTGCGGAAAATGGTGCGAGCATGGCAACTGTTTGGAAACAAAGACCCTAACCTAAAAAGGTAAGACTGCAAACTGCAGATTCCATAAGTGTTGGCACGATCCAGGTTCTCTTGTTGTTAAATAACATCTTGTGTGGAGCAATGTTCTCAAGCCAGCGCAGTAACCAAAGTTTTGCCCTGAGCACTGACCTAAGAAGAGACCAGCCAGAAGAACGTGGCAGAAGCCCACTCATGGAGCTTGGAGAAGCATCTTCAGCACTAAGGAACTGTGTTGTAAACCTGAGTCACATGTCAGTGCTTGACTATTGATGTCAAGAAGTTGCATCCAGTCACAGTTACTGCAAGCATGGCCAGAGACTTTTAATTAATGTATTTTAGAGTGTTTGAAATGGAAGAGGTATTTATTAATAAAATTAATTAAACTTTCCTTAGGTTTCTGACAGTGGTTGGAATGAGGACTGACCAGCTTCTTAGTAAAAAACAGGTTTGACATAGGCTTAGGTAGGCCTATGTCTTTTTAACTAGGCAATCAGTGACACACCCAGCTGTTTTCTCCCACTTCCCTGCAGTTTGCATTCTTGAGTGAATGATTTCTAAACCCTAGCATAGCCCCACTTTATCAGTGTACAGAAACAACTAAACAGCTCACTGCATTTCTTACAATAGGCAGACAGTTTTCTTTCCTCAGGTTCCAGTTCTATTTTGTATCACATTCTGAGCTAGACAGGACATGATCGTTTTAAAACAGTAAATGATAATCACTGGTAGCTTTGTTCTGTGTAAAACAAAACAAGGAGTGGAAGCTTCTTTCCTTTGGTGCCTCAGCTGTGGTGTAGTGTATTAACATACATTGATAAAGGGGCTACGAAATGATCTGATCACCCTGCGAGAGCCTGAGATTTCTAAGCCGTTCTATGCTGCCCCTCACAAAAAGCATGAAGTTTCAGAATGAGACAAGATGTCCACCCAAGAAGAATAATCAGTCACCTGGTAGTAAAGGAGGGGAAGGCCCTCAGACTAAAATCAGAGAAGCAAGAATTTGAGTTTTGCCTTCTGATGCAGAGGCGAACAAACTTGCTGGCAGGCCTTCTGAAGTCTATCTGGAATTTCTGTTCCAGCATTTTCCAAATAACTGATTTGTATTTCAGTAGCTTAACAAAACTTGTCCAAAAGATCTACCAAAAGTTCAGTTTTGAAGCATGAGGTCACTGGCACTTACATTTTAGGTGAAAGCACGCGTTAACCTTACTTCTGCAGCACAAGTACAGGCAGCTCACTGCACTCATAAAACCCTGATTATTTAAGGAAACTAATTCTGCATGGAAAATAATTAACACTGAGAGCACTGTAAACAGCATTTATTGCAGCACTCTTGGAAATAACAGCTCAGCTGCCCCAGAAAATGACATTTTGCTGTTTCAAAATTGGTTAGCATCTTCACGTGGCTCGTAACAAAGCAGAGGGTTCAGGACAAGTACAAGAACTGTCTTCTGCTGCTTTTTGGTAGGTAAGATTGTGCTGAGCATATTCCCTACCAGTTCCCAACAGCAACTCACCTTTGCAACATCTGCTTTAATAAGCTGCTGTCTCTTTCTAAAGAGAAAGACTGGACACGTTTGGACAGTAATACGCTTCTTGGTGTTAGAGTTCATAGTCATCTGGATGGTAGAGCTCACTCATGAGGCGGTAGATGTAAGAAGGTGCATTACCCCCAATGTTAGAAATGAAGAGAGTAATGAGCTCTGGAGGGACGTAGTCAAACACTGGGCAGTGAACATTAGTCTTTGCCAGGATCTCTCCTGAAAAGAAAAGAGCAGCAGTATTAAGACATAAGCAAACCAAAGAAAGTATATTTAGCCTTCTGCACATCTTCCTGAGTTCCTAGAGAAACTGGTTGGGCCCATGACATCCTGAAGTCCTTACTGGGATATCCTGAATCCTTTCCAAGTTCCTCACCAATGCCTTTGAATTATAAGTATACAATAATCTTGGATTGGAGCAACATCCTCTGCTCTTTTGGTAGTTTTTACTGATAGTAGCCCCAAATCCTCTCTGATGCAGATTTACTAACTCATAGCAAACCTGCTGATTGGAAGTAGAATTTGTATCCCAATGCTGCCAAAGTTACCACCTAAACAAAAGCTCATAAGGCCAAAAACAAACCTGAGCCAAACTTAATATATTAGTAGTTTCAGAAGTCTATCACACAAAAATGTGTCATTGAAAGTAACATTCCTAGCTGAAAGGGGGAGACCGTGAGCAGCCACCTTTCTAAAGAGGACACTGGAGTGGAAAACTCACTGCAGAAATACCTGATCTGATTGTTGAAACTCAGTAACAAAGTTTCAAGAAATTACATGAGTTTTAGGAAGAAGAGCAAGCTGCAGTCATTGTTGGGCATCTGTTGTGTCCCACAGGAAATTGCCACCTGTCTGGCACCATTATCACAATCCTACAATAAAATGCTGAACAATGCAGACCAGAAGCAAAACTAAAAAGATGGATAATGTTCCAAAAAAACTTTTCTGTATTCTCTATAGTAAAAAAGCTACATATAAAATGGAATGGTTCCCAGCACTTTTTTTTTCCCCTTAAGATAATAGGAAATGATTTGGGGTCTCAGACAGTGTTACATTAACATTTTGTACCAAATATTAAAAACAAACAAACAAACAAAAAAAAACCCAACAAAACAACAAATATATTTTATAATATAAAATAGAATATAAAACAACCATTGCCTGGACTGGCTTGACCAGTACCTTCTGTGAATGGCAGCACTTCTTGTGGTGACACAAACTTGTGGAATGAATCTTCTTCATTAGGGAACTGAATGAGACAGAGTACAAGAAGGTCAAGAAAATAAAGAGCATCTCATTATCCTAGTGAAAACATCCTGGGTGCTAGAAGGAACTGAAGCAGTGGAAGATTTGCCAGGAAACAATAAAGCTCTTTACAACAATCACAAAGTACCCATGCCCAGTACTTCAGTAGCATCTACAGTGAAAGGAACTTCTAGAACCTCCTGTGGCCTGTCTGTCCTTTTGCAATGCCTGGGGAACCAGAGCAGAGATGTGACTTTTCAGTCTGCAATTTAATCTGACAACACTGAAAATACTGAGCATAGGAAATAGAGGGCATCTCCATCTGCCACTTCTGTAGGTACAAAGGATCTTTCACTTCTAAAAATATACACAGAAGAAAAAGAATGGTGATGTCACTCTCTAGTAGCACTGGCTCACTCATCTAGTGGCAACCTTATACTCTGTGCGCCTATTACTCAGCAGATTTTGCAAAGAATTTAGCATTGCAGGGAGAGCTTTGAGACCTTGACCTGTGCCAGATCTGGGTGAAGATCTCCTATCTGAAATAACAGCACTACATGGAGGAGATGACTCATCTACCAATCCTACCTTGGGCCATGTGGTGCTGTCCACCCTAAGCTTTCACAAGCAAATATCACCCCCTTATCTCTCTTTAAAGAAGGTGCAGAACTGAAGAGGTGCTGTGCTTACCTGGGGTGAGAGCTTGAACATGGGGGCACATACAATAAGTGGTGTGGAGTGGTGTTTAGCTGCTAGTGCCAGAGTGTGAGTCCCACTCACAGCAATCAGTGCACCGTTGGCCAGGATTGTCTTTGTACCAATGATAACCTTAAAAGACAAATTAGCATTAGAGAGCATCTACCACAGCAAACTGAGGAAGATGAGCTTCCTGGCTGACACCCTTCTGAGTAAGATGGAGTTTGTCAGAGCAGTCAGCAAGCAGCTGGAGTTGCAGGGCACCTGGATGCCTGATCTGTTTCGTGTGGCTTTGGCTCTGCACCAATATGTTCCTCTCCCAACAAGAGCACAACTCCAGCACAGTGATGCCAGCACAGAGAACTTACAGGACAAACATGCTCTACTGCAGAGACTACCACGCAGAAGCTGGGTTGTGTTCCCTGTCCTGCTACAAGCCTAAAAAGTAAGCTGGTCATTTGATTGATTGCTCTCCTGGGTTGGATTCTCACAACTTTTCTGATCATTAGCGACTCAGGCAGAAAATCACTATCACTATGCTGATAGAGTCATCACAGTTATTAGGGATTGCACAACATCTCCCTATCTGTAAACAGGGATTATTACAATTCTGAGTATCACTGAAGAAAGACATAAATCACAGATAGGATCTGTAGGTGATTTGGAAGGCCCAAGCACCAAACCTGCCACGAACTCCCACCAGCAGCAAAGCCCTCCTTACCTTGTTGACTCGAGACATGACAGCAAAAATAGCGGCATCACTCATGACCGTAGTTTCGATGTTCTCTTTAGATAGTCGGACAGCCATTTCATGACCCTGAGAAGAGGGAGAATATAATTGTGTCCCTGAAACCCAGCTCCTGCACTGCAGTTGTAGAGCACTCAATCCCTGCCTGAACTGCAGAAAACATCAAGCAGCGGACCACAAACACAGCCCTCTGACTGAAGGACAGAGAGCAGAGCAACAAGTCGTCTTTCATCTTTCAACTGCAGAAGCATTCCTGTAACGTTCCGCTTCAGCAGGTGTTCTGCTGACAGCTTGTCTCCAGATACAACAATATGTGTATATGCAATATGACAACACAGCCCGGGCCTTACCTGACAGAAAGGTGCACACTCTGCCACAATGACCTGGAACTTCCGTTTGCGGGCAGCTTCCTTCAGGAAGGCCTCAACAGTGCGTGAGTAGCCGATGGTCATGATCACCTCGTTGGAATGGATGTGCTCCAGTGCCTGCATGGCAATGTTATCGGTGGTGCCCTCTGTAACAGAATGAAGTTATGAGTGGAAAAGAAGCCAGCAAAAGCAACATCTGTGCAGCTGTGCTTCAGTAACATATTTTACCAGAGTGACTCTACAAATTCTGGTAGAGCAGAAGCTCCATCACTACAGAAGTGGGCTGTGCCAGCACCAGACAAGCACCATGCCCGCATGATGGACGTTCCAGTTTTAGAGTTCAGCAGCACTACAACCATGTAGAAAGGAGACCTAGGCTTCAGGAGGAGCTCTACATGTCTGTTGTAGGATAAGGTTGTAGGATAAGAAAAACACATCACAGTAATTTGGGCAAAAGGGTGAAATAATGCTTATAGGGATTACGTCCAACCTTGGCAGACTGCTGATTCTCTACTTCACAGGGCTCAGTTTAAGACTTCCCAAAAAACCAATAGCATGGGCAGACACCCCTGTTTCTGATGCTTCTTTGAACCAAAAAAAGCACACCTACTCCCATTACTTCAGATTAAACCACCCAGTTCTTCGGTGTCGTCTTTCCAGGTAAGAGCAAAAGGAAGCAGCAGCCCCATCCCATAGAGATCTCTGTTCATGAGCTATTTTAGCCCCGCCCATACCTAGCTCTATTAGCAGCTCATTGATAGCTTCAATAACGTTTGCTCTGAGAGAAGGG